GTGCAGTTCTGAAGGTCAAGAACTCCAAGATCCAGGCACTGCCAGATTCAGTGTCTGGTGAAGGCATGCTCTCTTGTTCATAGATGGTGCCTCCGGGCCGTGTCCTCACATGGTAGAAAAGGGAAGGTAGCTCTCTGGGGCCCCTTTTATAAGGACATCAACCTCATTCATTAGGGCTCTGCTCTCATGACCTAAGCATCTCCCAAAAGTCCTCACTTCCTAATACCATGAGGATTAGGATTTCAACACATGAACTTTGGGAGAACACAAACATTGAGATCATAGCACACATCCTGTTAGATTGTGAGCAATTTAAAGGCAAAAGGAGACTGACTCATCTTAGCTACCGTTTTTTTTTTTCATTATTATACTTTAAGTTCTGGGTACTTGTGCAGATCCTGCAGGTTTGTTACATAGGTATACATGTGCCATGGTGGTGGTTTGCTGTATCCATTGCCCCATCATCTACATTAGGTATTTCTTCTAATGCTATCCCTCCCCAATCCCCTCAGCCCATGCTTTTCTTCCTCTAGCCCCCCAACCCCCAGGACCCGGTGTGTGATGTTCCCCTCCTTTTGTCCGTGTGTTCTCATTGTTCACCTTCTACATGCGCTGGCAGAATCAAACATACATCATCTTTCAGGAAATTCTTGAGGACATGAGCATCTGCACCTTCATATGTGATAGAGTTTGGATATTTGTTCCTTTTAAATCTCATGTTAAAATTTGATTCTCAGTATTGGAAGTGGGGCCTAGTGGGAGGTATTTGGGGGCAGGTCCCTCATGAAGGGCTTTGTGCCCTCTCGCAGTAATGAATGAGTTCTTCCTCTATTAGTTCCCTTAAGATCTGATTGTTAAAAGAGGCTGGCGCTGCCTCTTCTCTTTCTTTCTTCGTCTTGTCATGTGTTGCCTTCTGTCAAAAATATGACTTCTTCCATGAGTGGAAGCAGCCTGAAGCCCTCACTAGAGGCAGATGCCGGTGCCCTGCCTTTTGTACAGCACCTGCAGAACCATAGACCAAATAAACCTCTTTTCTTATAAATTACCCAGGTTCATGTGTTTCTTTATAGCATTGCAAAATGAACTAAAACAGTATGTATATGGAAACCACAATCCTTCCTTCAGAGGAATGAGATGTAACAGAGAGTTGTGGTTAAGAGCTCAGACTCTGGTTCTAGATCGTGATTCTACTACTTACTCACTATACAACCTTTGACAAATTCCTTAATCTTGTCTTAGTTTTCTTACCTGAATAATAAAAGGGTTTGTAGAACTCATTACTTTTGGTCATCACAAGTATTTTTTGAGTTGATATATGTGCACAGAACAACACGCTGATCACAGACCACACTACAACAGTGTTTGCTGGTGTTACAGAAGTATTTGAAAGCTGTTAGATCACTGCCTCCACATTCAGTTGATGAGATTTAGTTGCATGCACAGGCCTTGAATTTGTTGAATCGTTTGGCTCTTATCTTTTCTCATGAGTGTGAATATGTTCCCATCCACTTTTTCCCATCCACATTCAAGCTCCCACCTTTACAGAATGACCTGTCAGAACCCAGCACATATACCTACATTCTCTTATATTGCATTAGATTTTTTTTCTCATGAATACATCTTTTTCTCTCATTCCCTCCCTTTTTCTCTGCTCTGTTTTTTCTTCTGTCCTCCTTTTAGTATCCCATGCCCTCCTTTTTATTCCAGCTCGGCCTGTTTCTATCTTTCGTTAGTTCTCTAATGTCCCCTTTTCCTCCCTCTTTCTCATTAGTATTCATACGTAGCATACATCTGCATTTGTGTATGCACTTGTCTTTTGGCATATGGAAAAACGTGTGTTTATAAGAGTGCATACAGATAAGAAGACAGTGTCTATTTAAGCAGATGGGAATATGAGTGCTTATGCTGCACGTGTATGGGCATCCCTGTCTGTGTTTCTGGGTGAAGGTCTCTGTCTAAGCTCTACTATTAAATCCACTCAAATGTATGCTATTGATCAATTATATTAATTGAATTGAAAAGTCAAGTGACTTTCTTTTTTGAATAACTACTGATTTGCCTGGAATTAAAAAAAAAAAATGCCACACGTTTAAATGAAGCCCAAATCTCTGTAACATCTAAAGAGCTAAATTCATTTGTCAATGTGGAGGCTTCCAGCTGTCCCTCCTATCCAAGCCCTAGGGTGAAATATGATTAAAAGTTGCTTTTCCTTTTTCTATGACTTCTAGGTATCCAGTATGTACTCAGTTGGAAAACAGAAATATGAAAATTGTCTGTATTATGAATTAAGAGTTAACAGGTGATCCTCAAAATAGGATAACAATTAAAATAACAAATCGTCCCAAAATATTTTGGTGGGGAGGGAGACATTTTTAAAGTGGCTAATGATGGACATTAGTGCTCTACAGCAAATAATGCTAGATTCCAGCACAGATGTATGAACAGATTAAATTTCGTCACTTTCCTTGAAATTAGAGTTGCTATTGAAAAACCCTCTGACCAATGATAGGAGAGCTAAACAGACGTAGGCCATTTCAAGATGGAAACTGAATAAATGAGCGTCCAATTCACCAGGTTTTCTCCTTCCCGATTATCTGTTTATGGCCAGTGATGCTCCTAATAGTGGTGGTTGCTCAGTGTGTCCTTGAATGAGGATTACAAAGATCAGAAAGCTTAAATAACTGGCACTGAACATATATCATGGACAAGAAATACATATTTGTTGCTTTAAGCCTCTAAAATTTGGAGTAATATCTAACTACAGAATAAATTAACCTATCCTTACTGATGAAATATGAAAAGAAAAGCCAGTTTTTTTTCCTTGTCTTGTTTTAATACCAAACATTGATTGATGAAGTGTCATATAAGTTCTTTTCTGGCGAAGAAGATTCTGTAAAAGATAAAAAATCACAGCCCAAAAATATCTGCTTGCCTAAGCCTAAACCAATTGATTTCCTTGGTTTTTGGTTGTATATATGCTTTTTTCCCATTTCTTAACTGTTCTTCTCGTTCTTTCTCCACCTAAACACCCAGAGAGGTTGAGAAAACATCTGAGATGATTTCTGACAAATATTTCTTCTAAAACTCTGTTTCATTCTTCCTTACAGTGGCACAGACATTGGGTAGGTGGATGATATTCATTGAGTTCTAACAGGAACTCTGATTATCAAATCATCTGACAGGTATAAGAAATGGGATAGGAAATGATTTCAAAAGAAAGGATAAGGAAAAGAGGACTGATGTGACGGCAACTACTGGATGTTAAAGTGAAAGAGAGATGATTAAGAAAAAAAAAAAAAAAACGGGTTCTGAGTAGAAACGCATGTTAGGAATGTATCTCTGTGTTTCACTACATAAAGAAAGACAAAAGAAATTGGCTCTGACCTAAAAATACAATGAGAACTTTGAGGCCATTTTCAGAGATTTTTGACAAGGTGTAAAAGGTCAGTTAGTTACAGACTTTAATAGGAATTATTTTGTTGTCACTGCACAAATTCACTGGAGCCAAAATTTATGGGTTTAAACTGCTTTTAGCTAGTCAATCAAAATCAATCCATTGAGATAATTTAACATCAAATTGTGAGAAGAAAAAGGTACTTGTCTTTAATAAGCCCTTGAGGGAGCAGAAACTATGATTTCTTTCTCTTTATATTCCTCAGAGTGCTTCTCATACAATAAGTGCTCAATAAACATTAATAGAGAGTACAATAGATAAGTGAATAAATATGAGTAAATTAATAAATGAATGAAAGACTGTGTCAAAAAGTTCTCAAAGGTTGTTTAGAGTAGCTCACCTATTCTCACTTTCTCCGTTTGGACCCTCTCTAGCCTGGCCCCAGTGCAGGAGACTGTGTGATCTTGCCTCAATCAGTTGATCATGTCACTGAATAACTTAAAATTCCTCAGACACTTTCTATTTCTCCTAAAGTCAAGACTAGATTCCTTATATGGCTGGGTCTTGAATGCCGTGGCTCCTGTCTGGTCTTGAAACACTGTTTTCCTGGCTCCAGGAACACCAGCTTCCTTCAGCACCTGAAATATGCCAGGCTCCCTGATGGCATTTCTTTTCCTGCCATAGAGCATCATAGCACAGGTTTCCTCTGACAGAAGCCTCCTACCTCCTTTACCTGATTTGCACCTATTCATTCCTCTTAGAAAAATTAGGAAGCACTTCCTCAAGCCTTTCCTGACACAGTAACCCCACCTCCAGTTTCTGTTATGTTCCCTTGTTAAATGTGCTTTTTTTAGGTATCTTTTTCTCGGATTTTTAATCATTGTGGGTGATTATTTTATTAACATCAGTTAACCAAAGGTGCAATATGTTCTATGACTTCAGGTGTCCTGCTTATTTTTACTTAACATTGTATATCCTTGGATTAGGACATTATGGCCTGATTCATTGTAAGCATGCAATAAATCATTATTGAAAAAAATGAAAAACAAATAAATGTGTAACAAACTCAGAATGTGATGTATAATGTCACTTTCAAAGCTAACATCTCCTATTCCTAAAATTAAATCTATAGTCTAATTATTTGGATTATCGCCATGGTCATAAAGAGTCTAGGGAGAGCTAGGAGCTAGAGACAATGTCACTGCCTCTCTACACTTATGAAAAATGAGAAGAGGACACATTTTGTGTTGGTAAAAAAGTGGGAGAGAAATTCAATCAAAGTAGGCCAGCAAAAGGAAATGATGTATTTGGTTCACAATAAGGAAGATCTGCTCATCCAGTGTAGTTGGTAATGATAGAGGCCAATGGGCTATTAGCTTCAAAGGATACAACTGCACGTAGGATTTTGCAGGTGTTTGGGAACTGACATTCATCAAATCTTGCCTTAATATCTCTGCCTAAAATAGAATGATGTATTATTATTTAGCTAGAATGAAGGACTACAGTCTGATGGATAAAGAAGAGTACTGACATTAGAAAATCATAGCCTGAAATATTTTAAGGGACTTTGTTATCAAAATCAGTCCTACCATCCATTTCTACCTAGGGCTACATCTGAGCCATGAAGCTGACCAACTTCAAGAAACCACTGAATTTACAAGTCATCTAGGAGCTCAGTGAGGAACCCTCTCAAACACTGCCAACACCATAAGCTGGTTTGTTTATGATATTTTCTGGGTGCAATTAACTGTAGACATTTCAGTATAAGTAGTAGACATGTGGGTATAGACAATTTAAATTTAACACCTTATGATGGGGTTAATTAACCTAAGAAACTTTTCAGTGTAAATCAACCTGTATTAGGCTCATTAATTAGTGTAAGACCTATGATAAATAACCTTTTGGTGGTAATAGTAATGGGATTTGAAGTTAAGAAGACTTTAAGAGCACCAAAACTGCTTTCCTGAATAAGGACTACAAAAAGCAAGCTCAGGTATGCCCAGAGTACAGGAAGCCAACTCTAGAGCTTCTGGCCTGGAGACATCTTGCCACTGGATCTAATTGTAAGGCCAGTAGATCTTGCCATTAGAACCTCTTGTGTCCCACTCAAAGTGAATATTTCATGGAAGATTCTGGTCTATGGAACTAAGGGCAAAGGAATGAAATTTTCCCAAACTAAGAAGTTCGATGACTATACCTGCTTGTTAATAAATGTATTCTGCTTGGAAGATTTTCTCCTGAGATCTTCTTTCATTGTGAGTTAACATCTAGTGGAGAAATTGTAGGCTAGAGACTAACTCTAATCAGTGGTGGTTACTCATGATTACCAGAAGAACTTGACATTCACTAAAGGATCAAGTTTGTTTTTCATAGTTGGGTGATGTAGAACAGTTCACAGGATCTGTAGAGTTTGAAAATGAGAGAACAAGGAGTGAGCAGCTGGTGTTTAAGAAAGCGTTGCCATGACGTTAGAGTTGTCATAGGGCTAAAGGTAGCAATAGCGACAGAAGCTGGCTGAAGGCAGTACAGAAGGGAAAGGTGCACTCACACCAGAAGTGAGGTTTTTCAACTTAGACAAGGCCTCCCTTGGAAAATAAAACATGCCACAGGTAGAAAGGGCATGGGGAAGAAAAGGGGTTTTATTTCTAAAACAATTGTAGGTAATATGGGAAGAAACTCTTGAGCCTGGTTGTTGGTAGGCCCAGAGCTTGGCTCTGACCCAAGTCAGAACCAGAGATATTTTAAGTTTTAGCATCTTTCCCCAAAGAAAACTCACCATGGTGAAACCACCCCCATAGAGTTTACAAGAATTACATGCTGGATTCTGGGCAGAAAAAAACCAGTTATAATTAAGCATTAATCAGGCTGCACTTTGGTTGTTAAGTCAGGCGGGGCTGACTTCACGTGGCTGTGCTAAAGCCAAGGTCTAATCCTCATGAGCTTTATGGAGGAGTGCGTTTCCAGCAAGGCTTCATGTGATCTGTTCTACCGAGGCTTTACCTAGTTGCCAGGATGCTGGCTTTCCAGGCCTTCAATAACACCCAGTTTCCAGGATGAGCATGATGAAGGAGCACATCTGTAGGAAACAGCAATCTGCTAGAAGCCAACTTATGAACAGCAGATAGAATCAGGCCTAAGAGTTGCACATACCTGACAGTGTCTCACTGCTTTTTATGTACATTTTTGAGGTCTTTTAATCTAAGGTTGGAGCATGGGAATGGCATCCCATATAGTATTTCAAAAGGACGAAATTTGAGCCTACTTTTAAGAGCCACTCTTACTCTGAGCAAGGAAATAGGCAAAGCCTTATCCCAGGTCAGGTTGGTTTCCTGACAAATCTTAACTGAAGCCTTTTTTCAGGACATGATTCATTTTTTCACTCTTCCTGGTGGCTCCTCCAGGCTGTGTGGAATTTCCATGTTATGCTAAGGACTTGAGCGACATCCTGAGTGACTTTGACCACAAAGCTGGCACCATTGTCGCTCTGATTCAAAATGGGCAAGCCAAACTGAGGGATGATATTTTTTAAAGCAGAGCCTTAACAACTTCAGATGTATTCTCTGTTCTGCAATGGAATACTTCAATCTATCCTGAAAAAGTATCTATAAACATGAGCAGATATTTAAAGTTTCCTGTCACCCTCAGCATTGTGGTGATGTCAATCTGCCAATCCCAAGATGGCCTTTCACTCCATGCTTGGATGCCTTGTATCATGGGTGGAGGGCTAGTTTTGGGGTTGTTTCAGGCCCAGGGGAGACATGTCTGTATGACCATTTGAAAAATCTTACTCATACATGGGTCAACAATATATCTCTAATCCAATGGAAAAGGTTTTCCCACCTATATATCAAGTGGTGCCCTGAGTATGTCCAGCAATGCCACCCATGAGGCATTCAAACACTAAAACTATCTCCTCTTCGTTATGTATCCATCCAGCCTGTGTTTTTCAAGTAGGGTCAAAACTCCAACCGAGTGCTCTTTTAAGTCCTCCTCTGAGTATGTAGGCAGTTCAAGGTCAAGGATTATTCCAGGTTTTAATGGCATTAGTAAAGTTCGGGGGACCTTTTCTCTTGCTGCTGTCTTTTCATCCTTGTCTAACTGATTATTGTCTTTTTCTAACAAACTGTCTGTCTATTGATGCCCAGGGCAATGAACCACAGCCACTTATTTGGGGACCATGATTGCCTCTAGCAGAGATAAAATTTCTTTAGAATGCTTAATTTCTTTGTTACCAGAAGTTAAAAGCCCTCTTTTGTTTTTTTTTTCAAATCACCAGGTGAGTATGGATAACAGAGAAGGCATACCTGGAATCTGTGTAGCTAGTCATGTGTGGTCTTTACCTAGTTGCAGGATGTGGGTGAGGTTAATGAGTTTTGCTTTCTGTTATGTTCTGGGGGAAGTGCCTCAGCTTCCAAAACTTACTGGTGTATCAACACAGCATACGTGGCCTTTTTGTTGTTATTGTTGCTGCTCCATAAAGCTACATCCATCTGTGAGCATCTCTAGATCTGGATCTTCCAATAGTATGTCAATCAAATCTGGCCAGCTAGAATAAACTTGTTGGATACTTTGTAAGCAGTCATACATAGGTTTAGATGCTATCTGAGGGAGCAAGGTGGTGGAATTTAAAGTAATAGCAGCTTTCAACATCACATTTAGGTTACTCGGGAGGATAGCTTAATATTGACCTAGGCTTCTAGAGGTCAACCAATAGCTTCCTTTTTGTCCCAGTAATGGACATACATAGTGGGGTGCATGCACTCCAGTTGGTTGGGCCAGAATAAACTTTTCTGCTTCCTAAAGAAAATCACAGCTGGCAGCAATAGCCCTAATGCAAGATGGTCATCCCCTTGTGGGAGTGCCCAGTTGTTTGGTGAAGTAGGCATCTGTTCTCTTGATGTTCCCTAAATACTGGGTTATCATTCCTAATTCCGTTCCTCATCTTTCATGTAGAAATAGGTCAAATGGCTTCTTTATACTGGAGAGTCTTAATACTGGAGCTGTTATCAGCTTCTCTTTAATGGTCAAAAAAAGCTTTTTAGCAATCCCCAGTTCATTTTAACAGTTTGCTATATTCCCTTTTAATATTTTTTTTTATGTTTTTAAAATTTTGTGGGTACATAGTAGGTACATATTTTATGGGTACGTGAGATATTTTGGTACAGGCATTCAGTGTGAAGTAACCACAACATGGAGTTTGGGTTATCATTATATCCCCCCTTTAAAACACCATGCAACAACTTTGCCATAAGTCTGAAGTTGTGGATCCAAATGTGGCAGAACACAGCCAGGCCTAAAAAATTCCTTAGCTGCTGCCACATCCTAGGCCTGGCAGCTCTAGAAAGAACTTTCTTCCAATCAGGGAGGTTTCTCTGTCCCTGCAAGAGTTTAGCCCCAAGGTGTTTAACTGAGGATTGTTTGTCCAGAATATTTAATGTTAATATGGTGCTCTGGTCAGAAGCCTCCTTGTTTGTGCCAGCACCTAATAGGTCATTAGCATATTAGAGCAGAGTCCCATATTTTAGCTGAAGGTCCTGAAGGTGCTTAGCAAGAATTTCCCCAAAGATGATTGGAGAGTTTTTAAAGGTGTGGAGAGCTGTCCAACAGTACTGCCGTTTTTCCTTAGTATCTGGGCCCTCTCATTCAAAAGCAGACAATTCTGTGACTGAACTAAAAGGAATGAAAAAGAAAGCATCTTTCAGAACTGAGACTGTAAACCAGCAAAGTTCACCACTAAAGTTATGAGTAGTGTATAAGGATTGGAGACCACTGGGTGAATTCCCTTTGCAGTTAGGTTAATGGTCTCAAGTCCTGAATAACCCTATATTCCTTAGTCCCAGGCCTCTGGACCAGCAAGATAGGTGTGTTATATGAGGACCAGAAAGGTCTAATTAGCCTAAATTGGAAAAAAATGGGTAACAAAGATTCAATACCTTATTGTGCTTTATTCCTCAGGGATATTGTTTTATATTTGGCAGTGCCATTTCTACACATACATTAACCTGTACTAGTGTTATGGATTTAGCCCTCCCTGATGTCCTGTTTGCTCAGGAATGGTGACTCACCCTTTGTAGCAATTCTTCTGGGCTGGAAGCAGGCTTAGGAGCTTAATGTAACAATTCAGCTTGAAGAAACTTTGTTGGCAATCTAGGGGTTGAAGTGTTCTTTATAGGGTCCTCCCTGGGACTTCAGTCACTTTTGCAGCCCCTGAAGACAGCTTGGACAGGTAGGTATTTAATACCCAGTAGGTAGCTCCAGTATCTAATAGAAATTCCAAAAGTCTATATCCCACTGTCATAATAACCTGGGGCTCTATGTGGGAAAGCTGAAGGGTTGGTTGGATCAGAAGGAGCTCCCAGGGTCCTGTAATTCCCTCATCAACAAAAAAGTTCTCAGCCTCAAGTTCCTTGCCTATGGGGAGCAATAATGCATTTGGTGAAAGGGAGGTTGATTTTCCTCAATATTTGCCCCTCTGTGGTTTGGACAATCTTTTCTCCAATGGCCCTCCTGTCTGCAATAAGCACATTGGTCAGGATCTGCAGTGGAGTGCCCCTTCTTATTGGAAGCATGAGGAAAATGGTGTCTTATTTTAAGTTGGGTGCCCAAGCAGGGTCCTTGCTATGGTAAAGAGTTTCATAGGTTACAGCAGCTGCCAGCAAGGTGGCTTGTTGTTGTATTTTTCATTGCTTTTTCTGCTTCTGAACCTGGTCACTGC